CAGTGGCCGTCCAGCACTGTGTTTCTGCAGCCACCCTGCCGACTAGAGAGAGGAGCTGGACAAGGACAGGCAGGTGGATGGCATGTCTCATTCTTGCGGATGGGGAGCCTGTGTCCAGTTATTTGGTGAGGAGAGGAAAGTGTCCACTGGTGCTGACACCTCCCACTCTGTCTTTCCAGTGGTCCTGTTCCAGCTCTGGTGTTCAATTCCCTGGGTAGAATACAATGCATCCGTCACTTTTTCGGGATTCTCCCAAGAATTTGGTTGATTTGAGAATCTGTACCTGGTCTCTTTTTCTGAGTCTAGGGGAGACACACATATTGCAATAATTGGTTAATTAATTTAAGACCAAAAAGTAATGAAGTGCTCACGAAGGAGTTTGATGATTTCCTCCCTAATATCAAACCCAGCTCCATGAATCCAATATACTTTCTGAGTTTGTGTTAATTTACTTTGTCCTTGTGTGAATCTGGAATCACAAAGACATCCATATCATGGTGGGACTCAATCATGACTGCTAGTCTGATGAGCATTTTATCAGTTCAGTTATGTCTATTAAACCAGCTTCCAAACATTGCTTGATGGAGAAGCAATATCCTCAAAACATCTCTGGAAAAACACTGAACGTTCCAAAAAAGATCTTGGGAATACTTGGGAAGATCTCATGAACACCTGAGTTTTCTTCTGAAAAAGAGCAAAACATGAACAGGTGAACAAAGATTTCATGGATTGGAAGCTCAAGATGTTCTGCACCTGGCAGAGAGCGAACCAAACTGAAGAATTAGGATAAGAAACTGTACCACTAACAGGGCTTCGAAATAAAACATGGAAAACAGGTGGTGGACAGACAAGGCAAAGGATAGGTACAGTAGCATCCTGCAGATGTGAGTTCCTTCACTGTCCCTCTCGGAATCTTCTACGGAAGGAAGACCTAATCAGAGAGCTATTCAACCAAGAGCCCATTGGCATCAGTAGTCAATTCCACCCCACAGCACCAATCAGAGACAAACCTGGAACTTTAGAACCACTTAGCAATGTGATAAAAGTCTCACGCAGCAGAAGATGATGGAAATCCCAGTGAAGTTGGGAACTGGTGGACACGACCTAGCTCTACAGCTCAACTTCCCCCTCGGACAGTTCAGGAGTGAAAAGCTACTTCTGAATGATTTCAAGGATGTCTTGGAAATGTCAGGATCAACACTAACCTCTTTACATTATTGGCTTGACAGAGGCATTTGACGCTGGAGCTCTGGAAGATGCTCAATAAGTTTGGATGTCTTGCAAACATTCTTTGTCTCCTCATAATGGAAAGACTCAGTTAGAGGCACACAGATCTGGAAGAAGGGCGTGTTATTGTGCCAAGTCTGTTTCCAGTATTTCTGAGTGACGCTCCATTTGAAAACCGACAAGCTCCCTGCTTGAGCGCAGATGGCACACTCAACAGATGACACACTCAACTAAACTGTTTAACCGCCAAGGAGTCCTGTCCAAAACTGAATTCAGGTGTTGACTGGAGTAGGACTTGCACTTAACATTCAGACAACTAAACCTCTCTATCAACAAGCCGCAACGTGCTGCTGTTCTGTGAGTGGACCTGGTGCACTGGCGTGCTGATCTGCTGGTGTGTTAGTGTACTGGATTACTCGTGTGCTGGAGATCTGGTGTGCTGGTGTGCTGGTATGTTAGTGTACTGGTGTGCTGGAGTGCTGATGAGCTGGAGTGCTGGTGTGTTGAAGTGCTGGGGTGCTGGTGTGTTGTTTTGCTGGAATGCTGGTGTGTCATTGTGCTGATAATGTGGAGTGCTGGTGTGTTGAAGTGCTGGGGTGCTGGTGTGTCATTGTGCTGATGAGCTGGTGTGCTGGTGTGTCGTTGTGCTGATGAGCTGGTGTGCTGGTGTGTCGTTGTGCTGATGAGCTGGTGTGCTGGTGTGTC